ATTGGATGTGGATTCTCAATTTTGAAATTGAGATAAGCGCATTTGCGAACGATCGCTGGTAGCTTTGTTTAACTAGACGAGATCGTACACAGCATACTATTGGCTAATACAACGTGTACTCGATGTACTATTGGCTAATTGAGTATGCTCTTCTGTTCCTCACGCTGATTGGCTCATGGATCATAGCATCTCTCCCCGTCTGTCGGCCGCTCTCTCGTTCACTTCGCTCTGTGTCGTCATCATACAACTCTACTGTGCCTATAATTGTGTGTGAAAGGGTAACACAGTCTAGGGAGGGTTGATAACAGTGTGGAGGAGGTTTATAAAGGCAGGGTTGATAACAGTGTGGGGGAGGTTTATAAAGGCTAAACATATACATAAATAATATAATAACTATCTCGCCTTTACTTTGCGAATTTTCCCTTTTCGCGGTGGCGAAACTTGAAAACGCAACTACACAGCGACAGGAGAGGAATCACTGCCACCCAAACTCACTGATGACGTAAAATAACAATAAACTTCATATATTACGCAAGCTATTTTGTTGGGTGTTCCCTCACTCACAGTTGCCCCCTTTCTGCTCAACACCAGCAGCAGATGATTAGCTATCGATCAGCGGTTCACACAATCGCCTGGTCGATGCTCTAATTGCCTTTTTTTTTTTTTCCACATTTGGCCTGTGTGTACGTTTCTGTGTGTGTGCGTGTGTGTGTGTGTGATAGGACAAAGGGAAGCCGTTGATGATCAGCTAATGAGACACTGGCTGAGGTGTGTGTTTGTGTGGTGGGAGGAGGTTATAGTAGCTGAGCTCTAATCCTCGGCCTGTTAAACTGTCTCTGCTCTGTATCATCCCTGCATCGCTGCTTCATTATAACCTACACAGTATTGACCTCAAGTCAGGACCGGGCGTGCACACACACACACACACACACACGCACACGCACACACACACGCACACATACATAGCGAAAGTTGACAGACCTAAAAATTCCAACTAAAAGTTTTTGTCTTTTTGTTGTGTCTCAAACTTGACTTTTTATCCCTGACAATAAAGAATCCTTAGATGTTTTTTTTTTCTCGTGGGAGATTTTTTTTAAACTCTTACCAAGCCTGTGTGTGTGGGCAGACGGCGGAGCATATATATATATATACATGATTGTGTGTGTTTTTCATCTGCGTCGTCAGGGGAACAGAAACACGGATGTAAATGCAGATGTAAAATGTGAAAAACAAGCTTGTCATCATCAGTTTGTCTTATTTTTTTTCCGGAGGAGTTTTCAGTCTGGTCCGTGTGCTCGCTAAATAAAACAATAAAAATGAAGTCCATAAATTTAAATAAAAAAAATGATGGAGACTACGTATATCTCTTTCAAACCACTGATGAAGAACAGTGACTTAAAAACAGGTTTAAGGCCAATACGTATACTCTGATGTTACTTTACCGCAACCTTACCAGATTTAAATCCTTTAAAAACCTTTCTGTCAGGATGTTTGACTGAAATAAGTTGCAGGTCACACTTGGAGGACGCCGATAACTTGGAGACATGGAGAAGTTATTCATTCTCAAAACCAAAAAACCAAAGAGTCAAATGTCCGTCTTGGCTTTTGAAGCGAACACAACTTTCTGTCCATGTACAGGGGCTCCTCGAGGCTGGAGTTTTGTTCCTCAGTCGGAACTCACGTAGAGTACGTTAGTACCTGTGTCGCTGGCCGACATCATATTCTAGTACTGACTTACCACGAGGAGCCATGATAAAGGTCCCCAAAAATGTAGCGAATGCAGCACGATCCACTGTATAGTGTACAATCGTCGGATGTAAACAAAGCCATTTTCCGACAACTAATTCCCCCGCAGTGTTGTTGGCGAGTACAAACGCCGTATGTCGGAACGATGGAACAAGAATTTCTTAATACATTTATGGGAGATGGCGTCGAAACCTTGAAACGTCATAGGTTGAGGGTGTCGTAAACCAAGGACCCCCTGTGTTGTTATTGTGAAGGTGCGTGACCTAACTGGCCCAAAAACTCAACCGGCAAGATAAACCAAAGGATAAGCTAGTTAGGTAGCACAACAGCTAATGAGCTACTTTTAGCAGTTTAGCTATTATAACAATTTGTATGGACAAATTTGACTTTAGTTTTGCTCTGTTGCTGTTTATTTTTTAGCTCATTTTGTTTTATCTTTTGATAAAGAAGCTTTGATTAACGAGCTAGCGTTGTCTTCTTCTGGTATTTTGGTCAACCTTCACTTGAGTCACTTTACGGATTTTCAAAAGATTGACTCAGTCAAAGACTTTTTTTGCTTAATTTTTTTGATTTTTTGCTTAAGAAAAGTGGAGACTAGAGGTGAATCTGGCCTTGTTTTCCTGAGGTTTAATTCTTTTCGTCTTTTACTTGAGCCCATAAGTGGGAAGAATATTGATTTTTACAGCTGAACTTGTACTCGCTGCCTTCCTCTCTCTCTCTCTCTCTCTCGCTGCCTTTCTCTCTCCCTAAAGCT